AACACTTTAAAAAAGAAAGACTTATATTTAAAAATGACCAAACATACGATTCATATTTATGAAATTTAGATAAACCGTACAATCATATTGTCTAACTACATGAATTAAATGACAAATAATATCGTACTGTAAAATTTGATAAACTAAATGCTTTAAACAATTGAGCTTCACTAATAAAGATGATGATTAAAGCTTGTTTATAATTGTTTGATCAAATAACCAAGATATATGTGTAAATGATTTGATATTTTTTAAGTCGATATGATACATTGCAAGATCATATGACCTGTTAGACTATTCAGTTATATAAACTTAAACAAAAATTCCACGTTAACTGATGGTATATCCAAAGTTATTCAACATACAACTAACTAATGATCAATACCAATCAATTCGGTTTATCATTTTGTCATTTTAATTGAGCCGTGGATTGGTTGAAGTTAGACATTAACACCATTGGATGTCGGCTCAGTGGTCTAGTTGTCTAAGCGCCTGGCGCCAGACTGATAAGTCCTGGGTCCAAATCTCGCGGGGTACGGGACCGTGGGTGCGCACTGCTGAGGAGTCCCGTAATAGGACGAAACGGCCGTCCAGTACTTCCAGGTTTTCCATGGTAGTCTAGCTTCAATTGACTCATGATTTCAATCAGTGAAATTTCTAAAATCTCTACAAAACCCCTTCTAACAAATTATTCTCTTTATTTTTTCCTAATCCCTTATCAATTAGCCTTTTACAATTTCCAAAACTATTCGTTATTTATCTGATATATATCACTTAGGTGTTTTCTAGACAAGGTCAAGATATGCATGAAAACTATCTTTTGTTTAGTTATCTAGATATCTAATAATGTTAATCTCTATGGTAGTAATATTATAAACAAACAATGTTCATTATTATTTAATAATATAATCATAATCATTTGCAAAGAAGATATTTCAGTTAACTAAACTTTTGTTTATTTTTTTGCAGACATGAATTGTAACTGACTGATTAGAAAGTATGGAAAATAATTCAAAAGTTGTGTTCATAAAGCAAGTTAATGTTTTATTATAACACACTGTTTGAGCATATGATCTATAATGAAAGATTCAAACATTTTAATAGATATAATTAGTTGATATGGTCATATTTTTCGGTATATTATTCTCTTTTAAATTTGAGAATGTTAACCATTCAGCGTTGAAAGAATAACAGCAATCAGGATGAACTCCTAGAGCTAGGGTTTCGGTAAAATTTAAAATTATTGTCAACTTATACCTACATTAATAATGGGACTGAATTGTTCTTTGCATTTCAAACGGAAGTCATTTCTTACCACAAGGAGAGATCATATCATTCAGTTACTCTTCTGTTGACTGAATTATTGTAGGAAGAAGATGCTGACAGTAAATCTAGTTTATTTGGTCTTTATCTCTTAAATTTGAAATGAGGCTAATAGAATATATGACATGAAATCATTGTTTATTTCTAGCCAACTCACACTAACCACCAAAGGTCATTCAATAAGTTTATTATTCATTAGAGTTGACCAATACTAAGGATTATGCAAGGCAATGTTATTTTCTACCTAGTGATCAACTAATATAAGTATATAACTGCTTAGAACTTAAGATAATGGAATACCGATATAGGTTAGACTTTATTTGACAAATATAGAGGGACTAAATTACAAATATATAGTATTGAAATAAGTTGATATTCATTTCTTTTGTTAATACTGAAAGTCATTTTTCAACAATGACAATCTGTCGAAGTTTTCTGACCAGTTTTGATCTAGTGATATCCTTTTTCAGCAAACAAAATTTTCTCCCATTGTGTAACATATTTGATAATTTAGTTTTAAAACATTCAGCTCAGGTTTTACCAAAAAACAAATGGAAAGTAATATATAGCAACTAACTTAATGATTCCATCTTGGTTTATTTTCTCAATAGATCGCAAAATCCTTATAGAACCACTTGGATACGATAAAGGATCACTACATACGTGGTTGTCCTCTTAAAATAATTCATAAAATAATGACTTTCATGCAGTTGGAAAATAAGTTTGAGAATGACGCTACTACACATATCTCAATGATTGATAAGCTGATTATTTACTTCAATATAAGGAATCAGGTTTACAGTTCAAGTGTAGATTTTTATTGTCCTTAAAATCGTGAAGTTTATTTAACTGCCTCATTCAATTCAGTTATACTTCTATGAAAAATTTTAAGATCTTATAAGAAATCGACACTTTTATAAATATTTAGCTGAGATCCCTGCGATATTAAAGTTAAATGAAAATCACACAAAAATCGACATTGGTTTGACATGTGTTTGGGAGCAATTGAATGAATGTTTCATTTTCCTTAGTTATGGTTGATAAATTGCTACATTCAACCAAGTAGTGTTTCCATTTAGTAATATTGTACAGATGTAAGATTCTAAATCAATTTGTATGTTTGTTTGCTTGTTTAAATGAGTTTATGTGAGCATGTAATGCATGAATTTTATAGTAGAGCATTAATACTAAATACTAGAGTAATTAATCAACGAAGTTGAACAGAAAAAAGACGATAAAACTTGGAAAACATCCAAAGGTTTGGTAAATATAGGACATAGGTTTTCAATTTACTTGACTAAACATCGTGTTAAACCAGATCAATGGACTGGATTTAGGTAAAATGACAATGAATCATGTTACAGTGTAATGGAATAAGAAAGAGTGAGATTTTATTTAGATGAGTTGACGAAATATTTTGTATGGTTTATAAATATTTTAATCATAAACTACTCTTACAATCTTAAATTTTTCATCAGTGATTATTAGTAAGCTTGGATATGGCATTTTCAAATCCGAGTTTGGAGAGGTGATTAACCAAATCACCACTGAAATGAAATGAAAATCTACATTACAAGAGTTGACTCAACGTACTGTTTTCTGAATATGCAAAAGGAGTATGAATTTTCACATACTCAAGGTTCTAATAAGTCTAATCATCTGATTCAGTTAGCTTCTATGCAACATTACAAAGAATGAGCTTTGATTAATTCTATTTATTTAAACCCTGCATAGTGGTGGAGGAAGCTGTTGTTCATTGTCTTCTCTCATTAAATTTATTGTTTCGCAATTAATAAGATTCAAATCATTCTGTTGTTGATAATTTTGCCAGTAATTGTTATCATATGTGCAACCTATTTGAGTTTTTTCGGTATAACCATATTTTACAAGTTTAAACAGGGTTGATGAAGTATGACCAGAAGAGGAATCTCGCGCACTAGGGGTACCTGAATACTAGTGTTTATATTCACACTGAGAGTCGAAACTAGTGCCTTTAGCTTCAAACACTTAACGTGTTATCTACTGAGATACTGAGTTCATGTGGCCACTCAACTATATGACTGGTGTGGCATCTAATTCATTATTACAAGAAGGTTGATATTTTGACAAGTCACATATCGTTGAAAGATTGGATTAAAAATTTTAAAATTGAGTAGACTGAGGATAATGGTGACATTTCGCTAATCTTTTTACAAACGAGTATAAAATATGTTACCGTTAGGTTCGTTTATACCTGATTTGCTCATTGGATGTTCTAAAACGTCATCAAAATAAATATCGTTTTCATTGGTATAATCAGTAGGATGTAAGTGAACTCTAGAAAACGTTCATTATGAGAGTCATGATACAAATGGTCACGTAAAACTGAATGCATTGATGCAATACGCTTGCTTTGATATACAGTTTGATTTTTAAAAGAAAAAAATTTTTACTCTGCTTTTCGTGTGTGTGTGTGTGTATGTGAAGCTTATTCGTGTAAAGATTCAATTAGCAATTCATTTCCTATAATTATCTCATACAGAAAATTCTATATGTAAAAAGAAGGATGCATGCTGATAATCATAATTTATTTAAGGATATAAATGAGGGAACTAGAAACATTTTTGTTTGCTTATCTACCTTGTTTAGATTTTACCTTCAATAAAAATGATCTTATTTCATTGGAAAAACTATTGTAATCAGTGTGAAAGTAACGAAGAGAAATTAGTCATCTAATATTTAGTCACACAGGAATATTCTGTTCTGATGTTTGATGTACACAATAAACTCAAAAGCACTTATGATCTAACTCAAAAATATACGTTAAATACTTCGTGAATAATAATATAACAGCATTTTGACTGTTCTCTTAAAACGATTCTAAATAAGATGAACGATTAGTTTTTGGCAGAAGAGCATACAGTATCTGCAGAAAATCTAATTAGTTAGTCATAGCTACTGGCTAAGTACTGTAAACATTAACACTGAACACGTAGCAGTATGTTAAAAGGTGCTGTAGTGTCGGTTACTATGTTAAGCCAATTTAGCATATTCTAGCTTCCTAACAGGCCAATTTATTCATCCTTCTTAAGTCACCTTATTCGCTGATTAACCTTGACTGTTTTTATGTGAGCATATGTATGTGCACTTCTTATCCTATTCATCACATATCTGTAACTAATTTTTGTTCGGCTGTAAACATCGATTAACGCTTGATTAAAGTGGGGGGTGGCTCACACACGTTTTCCAACGCGCATCATTTCGTTTCGCTCTCTTATTTTCGCTTCGTCACTTTGATTGTCTGTCCAGATCACTGAGTGTACAAAATATGTTTATTCAAAAATGCGTTCTCGTATTTGACTTATTTAATTCCGTTATTCACTAACGCGATTCAAGTCGATGATTATATACGAGGATAGCCAAGATTTAAATCTTGTCAGTAGTCATTCATTTGATCTGAACGGGGTCAGATTCAGAACCACAAGGTTAAACGTTCTCGAGCGAGACTGACAATTGCTTGGTTCGAATCTCATGGGGCACGATCGTGGATGTACACTCCTGAGGAGTCCAATACTAAAATCACTTTACATTTCAACTTATTACAAGAGTTATTGTCTAATCAACCTAATGCCGATCTTATCTTCAAAAGGATATACTCGACTTAACTGAAGATATTTGATTAGAAAAAAAGACAAATTGATTAACATCTTTCACATTTGAAACAGTCTTATTTACATTTATTATTATATACTCACTTTTCTTAGAAATATCATTTTAGATGAAATCCATGGCATGTCAGTATATTATAAAAAAAATAGTATTATATTACAGCATAATAAGATCAATAAAAGGTTTGCAGAATTATTCCATTTGTACTAAGATTACATTTCAATAATTGATCTTTCATTAATATGGCTCAATAGTTATTGTTGTTGAGCAATGGTTAGTTCTTAGAAGAACTTTATTTTTCAGTTTATTACTTAAGAAAAGAATCTTTATATAAATTTAATCCAAAAAAATAATAATTTGGGATTTTCTTTCATTATTTTTATTGATTTTAAGAACAAATAGAATCACTTAAATTCGGTACAAGTATACTATACGATAAATAGCTGTTCTCATGATCTTGATGTAATAAATGATAGTTTGTTAACTGATAATCTGTAACACTGGGATATTTTGGTGTTGGTTGATGTGTTTCATAGATAGTTTCAAATTTATATTTACATAAATGATCATCAGACTGATGCTGATCATGTTGGTGATGACGATAATGATGATGATGATGATGATGATGTCGGTGGTGATGACTATGATTATGATGATTATGGGAGGTTATACGATGAGATAAACAACGACTTTTAAAGGAGGTTGATTTCCTAAGCTGAATTTTTTTACGATACCACCAGTGAAAACATAGCAATCGTTTAAATGCCCTACGAAATTCATGCATTGAATGTGCATATATAATTGGATTAATACATGAATTTATATAGCCTAACCAGGTCACTAAAATGTGGACTTGTTTAAACACATTATTTTGGTTTAATGAATATGGATTGAATGCAATTAGAATGTTACAAACAAAAAATGGCAACCAACATATTATAAATAATCCCATTATAATTCCCAACGTTTTAGCTGCTTTTTGTTCACGTGCAAATTTACAAACACATTTTTTTCTAGCAAACTCTCTCAACTGATTTATCCAACATTTTGTTTTGGATAGTGAATTAATTTCGATTTGATTTGTATCATCAGCTGAATTAGAAGTCATAGTAGTAGTATTCACATTTACCAAAGTAAAATTTGCAGTGGTGTAATTCATCAGTGAAATATTGTTGATATTTTGTTGATTCATACTAAGTCTAGCAACTGGATGTTTACACTTGTCACTTGATACACCAGAATGGTTTTTTGAATACTTTTTATCTATATTACTATTAGATTGATAATCAGTGAACTGATTTTGTTCATATTGACATGTTGTACTATTCCATTGATTGAATTGTAACGCTTGTGGATTCTTCGTGTATATCGATGATTGAAATGGTAATATTTGTGATTTCAGATATTGAGATTTTTTTAATCTTTGACTATCTTGTGAATGAGATAAACAACTAAGGATGCTGAATGAATATGAACGTTTAAAATTAGTTTGATCTTGTAATGGATTATTTGTTAACTTATTATGATTATTAAAACTGTCAGTAAGAATTTGAGAATGAATTGGAATTTGCATTAAAGAATTTGTATGATTCCAATGATTTTTATCAGTTTTTAACTGACGATTATCAAATTTATTTATTGAAGAAATTATAGAATTACTCAAAACACAACTTTTAGAAATGATGTTACTTCTTGTATTGATATTTGACATTGTGTTAATATTATGCTTATTTAAACAAAGTGAACTTTTGAAATTTGTTAAATCATTCATTTTCTTTCGTTTTATTATACCCTTATCAAAATAATTGAAAGGTGAACGATGAGGTTTAGGATGTGTCTTCAATTTGGTTGTTTTAAATGTATTATTACTTTTATTACTGTATTTGTTAGTAGCATTTCCTCCACGATGAACACGTAGTATCATTCTATCTCCAATTTGTGGTGTAATGAAATTCTGTGTTTTTATTTTACTGTGATAGTGTTTCAGCCAGTGTTTTTGTTTTTTTTCATTTGACACATTAGTTGCTTGAAAATTCAGAGTTGATGATGATTGTTGCTTTGGATTTGAGTAAACAATTTTTTCACCAGTTTTAAAACTTTTCATTAAATTATTAGCAGTTCGATAAATGCGTGCATAAACAACTAACATAACCACTAATGGGATATAAAATGACACACATGATGAGACAAATAAGTAAATACTGTCTGATGTAAATTGGCATACTTTCAAAGAGCTAATATCATAATCCTGTGTATTTCTCCACCAAAAAATTGCTGGAAATGATATAAGTACTGAACAAATCCATACAAACGTAAGCATTAATAAACAATGACGTCGTGTTCTCATTGATGTATGCGTGATAGGATTCTCAGTTGCCCAGTATCTTTCCAATGCTATAGCACAGAGATTCAATATTGATGCTGTAGAACTTAATACATCAAATGCATGCCATATATCACACCAATGACGTCCAAATGGCCAATATGCATTATATAATGTATGATAAATAGCAAATGGCATAACAATAATTCCAACTAATAAATCTGCTATAGCTAATGAAAGCAAAAACCAATTAGTTAAATTTTTACGCATATATCTTTCACGAAGAAAAGCTATAAAAACTAGAACATTTCCAGTTATCGTTAACAAGGCAGCAATAGTTAATAGAACTCCAAGTAATATAGTTTTCCATAAGTTGTAATCATCTGTCATTGTGTCATTTGAAACTATTATCTCGTTTATGATGCCATTAATGATACTTTTATTGATGATGATAATAATACGATTACTATTTGTATTAGTATGTAATGAGTAAATACCATTGATTAATGCATTTTTGAAGACAAACTCATTACATAATTAATTGAATTATGTAATTGTCATGATTATTAAACGAGAATAAGTGATGAAAACTAAATAACCCATTCATAAGTATAAAGTAACTGGCTCAATCTAAGTCATACTGTCATGTACTTTACTTATTCATTAAACTTTCATTTTATTTATATTAAATTTATTATTCATTATAATCAACCAATAAAACCTAATAGTGGGTGTTATTGCATAACTATAGTTTACTCTAAAAATGAAGTAGGCGTATTTATATTTATTTTCTTTTTTATAATTCCCTATTAACCAATGATGAAAATTTATTTCATTCTCATTCTGTTTACATTTATTCAATTAAGGAAAACACATTCATCAAGTAATTTATTCGAAATGAAACTGAGAAAATAACAATGGATACAACAGGATAAATGAATATTGACGAGATCTAGAATAAGTTTTTTTGTGTGGATTGATAAAAATAAAACACAACTATTCAATTATAAGAAAAAAGTAAAAGAATATGAAGAAACAATGAATTAGCTAATGTATATGGTTTTATAATTAGCATCATTTAATGAAATATATTGACAACTAAGAAGTTTTGATTTCGTTAATATGTAATATGAAAGTTTTATCTACGATTTAGTAGATGGAAAAACAAAACAAAAAAATTGAAAACTAAGGAGTTCTATTTAAGTGTTTCATTTTAATTCTGAACAAGTAATCGGTTTGGATATAATAACTTACATTCATCCATTTCCATGACATATGTTTGTAAAATGAGTAAAACATTATTATAACTGTTAAATGGTGTTGTTGTTTAGTAGTTAGAATATAGTTCAATAGTTAACTTAAAAGTTGTATAAAATAAAAATTTGACAATTTTTTTTAAAAATAGTAGATGACAAAAGCTTGTGATTTAAGCGAAGTCAGACAAGGTTACTTACACTCACATTTGCTCTTTTACCTATCTGTTGACTGGATCATGAAGACGTTCATATTTTATGGGAAGAATGTGTTGAACGTCACGGGTGCTGAGTGAACGTCGGATTTTGATAGCCCGGCAGATCAACGATCTACAAAGGTCAACGCGTCGCAGACAATACGTTTTGAAGAGGAGCGCAGCATAGACTGTAGAAAAGAAGAAAGTGATGTGGCTAGCAGAACTACCTCAAGAACGACTGCTTTAAAGAGGGTACGAGTGTGGTGTTTGTTACTGATGTCGACAGATATAAGTAGTATATATCATCATTCGAAGGTGAAATACCTGGGAGCAGAAGGTTAAGAAGATCAAAGAAAAGAGAACGAGAAAAAATCATGATTGACTTTGAAACAAAAAATCAATGAAACCTAAGACGATTGATTGACATTTTGCAAATTAAGTATTTACTGTTTGGTTGTCTGATTTTACTAAGATGTTCTGTATTTGTATTCAAATACATTCGATTATCCCCACTTGTGTCCCCGTTCGCTACACATGAAGTACAGTAAATAACTTAGGCAAAACCGGACGATTCAGACCTCACAGATGATTAATTCTATTACCTTATGAAAACCGGTCATTTCAGGAAAAGACATATACTGTAATATCCTGAAATGCGACCCAGACCAAAACAGTCAAAATACACTTAATGGAGAATCTTCAAAAGAAATGGAACCTTTTACATACCTCGACAAGTATCACTGTCAAACAAGAGATGTGATGCATATGTGAAGTCATGCATTAACAAAGTGGGGTCAACATTCCTACAATTGAAGAAAATTTAGAACACAATACAAAAGTTAGAATTTTCAGCATTAAGACAGTTCCTTTGTAAGGAGCTGAAACTTGAAAGACTACTGAAATCATGATCGAAAAGGTACAAATATTTATAAAAATTTACTTCCACAAAATATTCCAAATTCGTTGACCGGACATCATCAGCAACAGTCTGTTGCGGCATAGAACAGACTAGGTTTCAGCTAATGTGGAAATTAGGAAAAGACGCTCGTGTTGGGTAGGTCCGTTTCTACGACAATGGTCAAACTACATCACTGGGCAAACACTAACTTGAAATCTTCAAGGCATTTGGCAATAACTGAAAGCGAGAGCTCGTGAAAGAGCTGCATAAATATCCCTGGTAGGCGGTCTATGCTCCAATAGATGAATTAGGTGTTAGTAAATAAGTGAGACTCGTAATCAGAGTTTATTTTTAACAGCTAAATCTATATCAAAATGTTTGGGAATATTTCAAATGTTTTGTTTGCTATACAGCAAGTTGCATAGTTTACAATTATTAGCTAAGATTTGAAGATACCAGCTCCTTATGTCATCCCAACCATGAATAATCCAAAAACATTTTGAATCATTAAAGAGGAAGAATATATATTTCATTTGCTGAGATTTTACAAATACGTATTCTTCCTCTTTAATGACTCACATTAACTCGGTGCCCAAATATTGTGAAACTATTCGTTCAAATTTAGACGACAGTTTGTATCAGTTTAGTTTGACATAGATTTGTTACTAATGATTTTGATGAAATATCACTTATTTTAAATATCATATGTTACTCAATTATTTTATATCTGTTACCCTTAAAAACATTATGTTTATTTATATAAAGTACATTTATATACATAGAAAAAATTGAATGCTATTCTGCTAGCAACTATTCGTTTTGAAAATTTGTTTGATTAATTCACAATAAATGAATACATTAAACATTTATTCATCAAGTTAACATTTTTAACGACGGTATCCAGTGTACATTTTCAATATGGTTGAACTAAAATTATACATTTTCATTATTGTAGGAAAATAGAAATCATCTCGAACTGTACGTACTAATACATAGCAGATGAATAAGTAGTAACTATAACTAACCCTTTGATGTAATTTAAATTAAGGATATACCAAAAATGTTGGCATTTATCATTGGTAATTTACCTAAATGTGTTGCAGTTACATAACCTATAATAATTTATCTATGATGTTAATCATTTTGTTTAATCAAAGATGGATAGTGGCTAGCAGTGGAATCCAGGACGCGCGTTTCGTCCTGTTTGGGACTCGTCAGCTGGATGTACCTGCATCTCAGAGTTGATGTTCACTCTGGGACTCGAACTCAGTACCATTAGCTTCAAACGCCATCGCGTTATCCACTTAGCTACTGAGTCCTGATAGCCACTTGCTTGTGCAATGGGTTGAAGTTTAATTCACTTGATATTGTTTTATTTGAATCTTCCCATTGATGTTTTTGGACTGAAATTGATCAGTCTCTTATTGCACAAGCAAGTGGCTATCAGGACTCAGTAGCTAAGTGGATAACGCGATGGCGTTTGAAGCTAACGGTACTGAGTTCGAGTCCCAGAGTGAACATCAACTCTGAGATGCAGGTACATCCAGCTGACGAGTCCCAAACAGGACGAAACGCGCGTCCTGGATTCCACTGCTAGCCACTATCCATCTTTGCTTACAATGCTTGTAAATTAAGGCAATATCGAGGCATACGCACAGTATGCACATATGCCAATAAGAGACTGATCAATTTCAGTCCAAAAACATCAATGGGAAGATTCAAATAAAACAATATCAAGTGAACATTTTGTTTAATGTCGTAAGTTTGATAGTAGTTGAAATATACATGATCCAGAAGTTTCAGAAGCCTATTATACTGTTCAGAAGTATATGTTTGAAGTGTAACACATTTTTAAAAAATGATGAGATAATGACAATAGATATACTCTAATAGATTACCCATTCAATTTCCAATTGAATCTTTAATAATCACACATAGAATTTCGTTTTGACGATTATTCTTTAGAATGAAATTATGTTCATCAATGTATTAAATTTATAAGAATTTCAATACAACTGCATGCTAACTTATAGGATAAAACTATGTAGTTTCAGTTAAAAGATGATACTCGTATGTAAACCATTATATCAACTAGACAACAAGAATCATTACTAATTTATATATGTTGACATTTCATGACAACGTAATATATATAAGCCAAATTTAAAGAACTTAAATTATAAATGAATGTGCCATATATCATGCCATTTTTCAATTTCTTATTAGTTTAAACTGTCATTCTAAATTATAAAATGTTAAACCATGATATTTTACTGTTTCCAAGAAATTTTTAATGATGGAAAAGTTTAAAATAAGTTAAATTCACCTGATGTTGTTTGCTTATATCTTCTCATTGATGATTAGGATTGCAATTGATCGGTCTCTTATTGTCATTTGTGCATCCTTTGCGGATTGCATCGATATTGCCTTAAGTTCCAAGCATTATCAACAAAGATGGATGGTGGTTAGTAGTGGGATCCAGAAGGCGCGTTTCGTTCTATTTTTTGGACTCGTACCTGCATCACAGAGTTATTGTTTACCCCGGGACTCGAACCCAGAACTGTTCACTTTAAAGGCCGTCGCGTCATCCAGTTAGCAACAATAGAAAGATACAAGCAAACAACAACAAATGTATTGAAACTCGCATAAGCAGGTAGCTATTAGGACTCATTAGCTTAGTGGATAACGCAATGGCGTTTGAAGCAAACGGAACTGGATTCGAGTCTCAGAGTAAATATCACTTCTGGGATGTAGGTACATACAGCTGACAATTCCCAAATAGGACGAAACGCGCATCCTGGATTCCACTACTAGCCACCATCCATCTTTGTTAAAAAATAGGTCTGTTTGAAAAACTGAAATTTTATTACATAATTTAAATTACATTATCCAAATCTACTGATAGACATAGATCTCAATAACTGAACAACCTTCAGTGAAATTCTAGTAAAACGTTATTCAACACAACTAATTAGTTTTCTGGTGATAGTTAGGAATCATTAGTTTAAACAAATTGTAAAACTTTTAGATTTTTTATCCATTGTTCAAATCCAGCACTTTCATTGTTTATTTAATTATGTTTTTTTTAAAAAGTGTCTATAAGTTTAAGTAATTTTTCATAGACAGTATCATAACTATAAATCATCGATGATTCTTGAAGCATATGTTTGTTACTTCATTAATATATTCAAAATGTTTTCAAGAAAACTCAAATAAGTTAAACTAATTTAGTTAGTTTCATAACTGTTTCAAACGATTCAGTATTTCAGATGAATTTGTACTAGAAAAACAATATCATGAT